TATATATATATATATTCTGTGTTTCTTGTTAGACAAAAGGAAACAGAACATTTTTAGGCGTAACAAATAAATAAATAGATAAACAAACAAGTAAAACATACGACTAAAGTAATACAAAAACACAGTCATATATACTAATATCCTGTACATAAAATCTCAGTTAGTCTTACAAAGCCCTCGCAAATTAACACCCTAGTGTCAATCCTGGCGCCCCAGTCTTTTAATTCATGTCCTCTGTAGTGAACTCGCAAATCCTAAAAAGTTAAACTGAAAGATCCTTTCCCCCTCTGTTCTCAGGAGGATTTCATATTAACATTTTCGCAAAATATTTGTTTGCTTCTAAAATTCTAAAATAATACTTCTCTGTACCTGCAGGTTAATGCGGCTCTAACTAAACAAGAATTTGAATTAATGAGCATGCAAAATCCTCTATTTTTGAAATGCTTTATATTCATTACACAGCATGATACGCTTATTCTAAGTTGTGAGACTTTTCTTGTCATTCGTCTCAAATTCAGCACTACAGCGCTCCAGTGCTGCGTTCAGGCTCCAATGGGACAAACGTAAATTTGCTGGATCTGCAGAAAACTGTCTTTTTGTAATCACCACCTGGAACAAAAACTAATTTTTACTACTATTTGGCAGTGCAAGTGGGATTTTCTTTTTCATATTTTAACTTTCACTAATTATTAAACTATTTATATCTAGCCTTACCCTTGTTTTCCCAAGAACGTTTCCACATATCCGACTGCAATTGAAAATAATTTTAAGCTATTCATGGCCTATTTTAGATTACTCTGACTCACCACAGCATCTTGTGGTGCAAACTGGTATTACTCTAATGTAATATGTGGAATGTGTGGACGATTTCAAACTCTGTTTTAAACACAGAAATTCGCCCAAAATGCTTTTAAAGTAAATTTAAACTACCTGAAATCAGTCAGTGGCATGTGTGCATCTTTTTCCAAGCGTAAAACAAAGACTTCCAAGCCTGCCTTAAACGGCCAGTTTACAATGACAGTCCTTGGCAAAACAATGACAAGACTTTATTTGAACTTAACAATTTATTTAAATCTTTGTATAAGCAATTATTTCTTGTTCTAAACCTGTATTTTTACCACGTAAAAGATTATTTACTATGTAAGCATTAACAATAGAATCTGTTAGCTAAACAAAATAGTTAATGTTTAATTTACTGTAATAATAGCACAAATCAATTCATTATTTTGTCATAGTGGCAAACCAGCGAATTAAATTAATCACAAAATTCACCATTAGAACTAAGACAAAAGAACAAGGTAACCAAAAAATTATCTAAAGTTATTTTAAAATTAATTATATCAAGAACAGGAATGATGTGCAGAGCTGTTGTAACTACAGAGGATAAAGTTTATGAAACTAAGAAGACAGCAAGACAGTATAGAGGTGTGCGATAATTGGCAGATGAGGTTAGGCAGGAGTCTTTGTGGACTGTTTGCAGACGACATTGTGATCTGTAGTGAGATCAGGGACCAGGCAGGCAGAGGTATGGTCTGGAGAGAAGAGGAATGAAAAGTGAGTAGAAGCAAGATAGAATGCATCTCCAAATGACATGGAGACAGCTATAACAGCAAAGCTTCAAGAAGCAGGAGTAGGGGAGGTAGATGAGTTTAAGCACCTGGGGTCAACCATGTAAAGAAATGGACAGTGCACAAGAGAGGTTAAGAAGAAAGTGCAGGCAGGGTAGAACAGGTGGAAACAAGTGTCAGGGGCTATTTGTGACAGAATGATAGTAGCAAGAGAGAAAGGGAGCGTTTACAAGATGGCAGTGAAATCTACTATGATGTATGGCTTGGAGATGGGGAGCCCGACAAAAAGAGAGAGAGCAGAGTTGAAGGTGCTAACATTTTCATTGGGAGCAACCACAATGGACAAGATTAGAAAGAGGGACAGTTCAGGATGAGCAGTTTGGAGACAAAGTTAAGGCAAGGGTCAGATGGTTTGGGCATGTGCAGTGGAGGTATAATGAATACACCGGACAGAAAACCTCAGAGGAGATTCACGGATGCAATGAAGAAGGAGTTTGAGAGAGTTGGCATGAGAGGAGGATGCTAAGAATAGTGTGAGATGGAGATGATCCACTGTGGCAACCCTTAAAGGAAGTAGCTAATAACTAGAAGTCTTTAAATACATTATTAGTGGTTTTTTTTTTTTTTTTTGTTAAATTTAAACCAGGAGATAGTATTTCTTTTATACTATCCTCAAAATAATTTTGGAAAAAAGTTTCGTTTTTTTTCTATTACCTTGAACACAATCTTAGTTTACGCCCGCTGACGTCACGACGCTCCCAGTGTTTGGTTTCCGCGCCGCGCCGAGCTGAGCTGACTGAGCAGACATGGCAGCAACCAGCAGCGACAGCAAACCGGATGAGCCGCAGACAGATGGAGGGACGGAAGGTGATAGATCCATGTCGAGGTCAGACAGGTAAAAAAGGGAGGAATAAAATATGGCTGCTGTGGCACGCGGGGGTGTTGTCGAGCCCCGCGGTGGAAACGGCTCTTGGCAGCTAGCTAGTCCAGCTAGCTGCCACACTCGGTGTAACCTACGCATTGTGTTTTGTCATGGGTGCAGAGAACAAAAGCTTAATAAAGAACATGGGAGAATTAGACGAAAACACCTAAGTGAGGACAGAGAGACCTGGGCCCGGTCGTAAAATATTATATGGAGGTTTCATCTGTGGTTACATCAACACTTTCTGCCCTCGTCTCTTTCCATAAGCATCTGTACAGATCCTCTCATTCTGTATGCAAGACTAATGCGACAAATGACGATTTTATCAACGTTTTCAATTTACAAAGCGTTTATTCATCATTTAAAAGTATCCGGCAGTCTTTCAGTGCGGCCTATTAAATTCGGCCCTATTAACCATCACATCTCAAAAAATATTCACTTTCAAATTGTGTATTTTAAATGTTTATTTTTAGGAATGGCTACTGTTAACCAGGATCGGTTTTTGTTAATTACTTCCAGTTTCGAGATGTTCACTGACCATATGTATCACAACGGAAGCTAGTGTTGCTTTGTTGCTAACGCCCCCTTATTCATAACACGTAGCACTGAGGATGTGCTGGGGATCAGGTGTCTGTCTGGCAGCTTGGTGACCTGGCTGTGTAGCTGTAGTGCAGCTGGGTGTTAAATCTACGCAAAAATGCACGAGTTTTTGAATCATTGAAATGTCAGTGCACCAATGAAAAACCTTGGATCCTTGCATATCAACCACTCAAAAAATTGATGGTTACTGTGAAGGTGTTCCTTTGACTTGGCTGCGCTGATTGTAAATAAAATGCAAAGCTGCATTTAGTTTGTATTTAAATTAGGTCAGCGAGTTATCTACGTTAGGTGTCTGTATCTTTACAGGGACTAAGATGTGCATGAAGCACAGAAGCGAAAAAAACAAAAGGAAATTTAAAAAAATCCATAAATCAGCCTAAAAAGTGTTACATTTGCATAATATTTTGCTTCTGCAAAAAGCAACCTATTGCCTATTTCTGCACGCTTACAAGTTAATATTTAATGGCCTACCTTCTCTGCCATTGAGCTACAGCCATAGACTATTAATAAAACACGGACATAGCCAGTAGGTGGCCGTCCACTGGTTAGTGAAGTGAAACCTTGTGGTGAAGCTTTCACACTTGCTTTCTTAGTGTTCTAAATACGAACTGAGAAACTGACTGCATGTTCAAACTGTAGTGACTTGTAAACCATAAAGTCCAGCCAAATGATGACAGCCTTACTCATGTGAATGGTGGCTCCCAACCCAGTGTCATGCTGTGTCCAGGGCAGCGGTGTGATTTCCTGGGGAGGGCCGGCAAGTTCCCCCTTCCTCCCCCTCAACCACACCGACAGCAGATGCTTCCCTGTGAAGAGGAGAGTTCATAGAGGGTCTCCGGAGTGAGCAGAGACCCTCTTCTCTCTCTACAGGACAACAGTGTATCTGCAGGTTCCCAAGAGTTAAATAAAATATTTTGAATATATTTAGGTAAATGTTTTCCCTTTTTATACCCATTTATAGCTTCACATCTTTGAGCTACTTTTGGTTAGAAAAAGGCTACTTTTGACACAATGGTGGTCATAAACCTGCAGATATGTTGTAAAAATGAAAATGCCTGTATTGGAGCAGCAGCGGGGGTCCACTATGAGCGAACAAGGCATCTCTGATGGCATACTGCAAACAAACTGTTCAAAAAGCAGGCAAACATGAGGACTTAGCCTTAGTATGAGTCTAACAATTACTTTAAATGATCTCACGGCACTTTGGAAACATCCCACAAGTGTTTCTCTGCTTGCCTAAAAATACGCAAACAATCTGTTTTTTGGTGAAAGTCAAGCAGCACACCTGAAATGTAGAGGAGTGGTCAAAATACAATGCCCTGTGGTGCCCAAACATGTCTCTTCTGTTGCTGTTATTTGAAGCTGCATAACTGCATTGCCGCTGTGATATGATGGGACAGACCCACCCCTGTCCAGTTTTTTCCATGGGGTAAATCTCACCCATATCAGATCATATTTAG